GTAAGCTGAGAGCATCTGAGAACTCTACTAACAGTAATCACAAACATGTTGACATTTTTCTGAGTAGCAAGACTTAGTCTTTTCTCCAGAGAGGTAATAAAATGTTCCATGATCTAGTCAGTGCTTAAAAGAATCACTTCACAGAATTAAGTGTTCTGCTTGCAATCCTGTTGCTGCTTCTAAAATAGACTCAAAGGCTCCTTATGTACTGAAGCTGGAAGCACAAAGCACCTCTATTCCTTCACTCCCAAAGCATTTAATTATAGTGGCCATGAGGCTCACACTCTCTTTTTCACTTGCATAGGAAGCCAAAAAGGGATGCTAGGATGGTCATTCTGTGCTGGTCTTCAATGGTAAACACAGGTCATCACCTCCAAATCACATGTGAGCAATGGATGTTAAAGATGAAAATCACAGAGCTGGAAAGAGTAAAAGGAAAAGTAATTCTAACCACCATAATACTGTTTTGTATAAGAGAAGTTGGCTTACAGCACTTAAAGTTTATGCATTAATTCTGTGGCCATACAGACCCTCTGGCTTTATGCCGTTCCTCACAGGTAACTGGTGTGTCCTCTTCATGCAGGGAATCTCTCACAATCCTTTTTTTCAGAGCACATAAAGAAAACCCAGCTTTCACCCTGGCGCAGGTTTTGCTGCAGAGTCCCACATACAGGTTCCCACACCATAACTACTTGTCCAAAAATGCTCCCTTCTTCCTTCCTGGGACTGAGAGAAAAGCCAGAATGCTTCTTGCAACTTCTCCTTCTTGACCCAGCACCCTCCTGCCAGGCCTCAGGCCCTGGGCCCAGCTCTATATAGAAACAACTATAAGTTGATAAACATTTGTAGAGCCAGATGGAAACAACGTCATCAGAGCTCTTCTCTCCACCTATGTTATTCACAGGCTGTCATCATCTTCCTATGGCCTCTTCTGCGAGACCACCAGCTGACAGGCTACACAGAGCATGGACAATGTCTCCTGATGGTACAACTTCTCTCTTTTCTCTCACAGAGGAAGATAAACTCACAACAAACCCTTATGGTTTATAACACCACCTTCCTCCTTTTTTCCCACCCCAGAAATGTTGTCCTCTGTACAGATGCAGCCTCCTAGGATGTCCTGCTCCACAGCACCAATAAAAATCAGGACTGAAATTCATATTTTTGAAACTCTTAAGAAACCACATGCATAACTATAAGCTTCTACATCCTCAGCCCAAAAAGCCATCCCTACTTCAATGCAGGCTGCTTATTGCAATATGACAAACACAAAACAGGGGCAAAAATGCTGTTTTGTTTGGTTTTCTGTTAAGGTCACTTGGATAATCCACTTTGTGGTGTGATGGAGAAATCAAATCAATGACATCATCACAATCAGTGAAGCAAGAGAGAGCCTGGTGAGTCACCTGCAGGGCCAGCCTTTGCCCTGGCCAGTCAGCCGTTGGCCTTTAGCCATTCAGCTGGCAAATGACAGACATTATATAAAGAACTGAAAGAATATGAGAGGACCGTTTAAAATTATTACTGTTTGGCTACCTCTCTGAAATCGGAAGTCACAGGGGAAAATCTCAGAGCTAGTGCATCTACAGTGACCTGAATCTTATTTCCCTCTCATTAATTGGAGTGGAAATTCAGGACAACCACATCTGTAATAGAAGAGGGACAGCAGTGATATGAATATCTTTGCTTTTAATTTGATAGCATGAATGTGCTAAGCAATAGGCTTAAAACATTATGAGAGCCCCCAACTTGAATATCCGCCAAGTGAACTATTTTTAGGGGAATGTGTTTAGCTTGCTTGTTAAAGATTTAAACCTAGGCAATAACTGCAGTTACTCTTCTGTCTGATTTAAGTAGGCAACATTAATAAATACACAGTGATTAAGTCAATTATTCCAAAACTACCCACAAAGACTTAAAGCTAGGAGGAAACAGGATGACGTCCTGGCTGAAGAAAGTCAACTCTGTGATCTGTGTAAGGTCAGATACGACAGACAGATTACTAAGGCAGAGCGGAGGGAAGAGAGATGCAGGTTATGACATGGAATTTGATTTATCCATCTGAAGGCAAAGTGATAACTGACTGACCAGGGCAACTCTGTCATAGATTTTATAGATCTAGTTACTTCATGCAGATCTCTGAACAGCTGTGGGCTTAGAGTAAATCCATGTGAGAGCTGGATTTGGATTAGAAAAGAGATTCATCCATGATCAATCACATGATCCATGTTGTTATTCTGTCTTCACACTTACACCTTAAATCAGAGCTCAGAATCCTACACATTCACTCTTTAAAATGTCCTGGTTGAGCAGCTAAGTTCTCCTCCCTTGTCTGTTTTGCGAGTGTACAAGTGAGAGCAAGCTATTTAGCAACAGATAAAAGAGGATATAAACACCCTGAGTGCTGGGGGTGAGGGAAATTGCTTTTGATTATGATATTCTGAACACTTGGAATACCCAGTGATTTTTGCTCAGTTCTTTTATGCTGAATGAAGTAAATCTACAAATGGACCTATCTGCTTCAGCCATTTGTGTAAAACACCTCATTAAATTGAAGCATTGTTTCTTAAAGAAGCCTGGTACATATCCAATGGGTAAAAGGATAAATGGTTATAATCTTTGAATACATAAGACTGCACAGAGTGGGTATTTCATAGCTACATAAAGCCCATAATTGAACTTCTGCCCTAGGGGCAAGCTTTCCTGCAGTGTAAGTGCTTCCAGATGCCACACAGGGGTCATGCTCCTTGTCAGGAAATCAGAGCTTTACATCCAATTAATTGTTATCCCCAGCTGTCTTTTTTTTTTCTTTCTTTTTTTCTTTTTTTTTTCCTTTTTGTTCATTGAAATTAGTTTTCCAACAGTCATTCAAGCAAATGTGCTCATTTCCCAGTTCCCCCGCAATTCCCCACCACAGTGTAATGAAGTGTGGATTTTACATGGCTACATTCCAGACCCCACGGTGTTAAAATCATAGCAGCAATGGAAGAGCATGTAGCCTCAATAATCATAACATAGGACTTCAACTAGAGGTGACTCAGTGGTAGTCAAACAGATGCTATATGAAAATAGAACTGTTCCTATGCACAGAGCATTAACTTGTGGTTAACCATGGAGTCAGTGCTCACACCAGAAGGTTTTCATGGCTTGCTAAGCAACAAAAAATACAGTCTGAATTAAACTGATGACCTCAATTCAGTTTACTGCATCTGGGTGTCCATCTCAGAACACAGGGAACATGAACAGCAAGTCCTTTCTCCCACAATTCCCTTGGGCTTCATATTTGGTGTCAATCACATGAAAAAAAAAAATGCAAAGACCACATCTAACCAGTATTTGGATCTCTTCAGTTCAGTAGAAAATTATTCACAGATTTGGGACAGCTCAACAGTGGCTGAGAAAGTTCAAACCACAGCCTGCTGCAGAACAAACAGAAATACTGAAAGGAAGACAGTGCATACAGTAAAAGGACAACATAACCCCTTTATCATCCTCAAAGTATTCATGAGAAACTCGTGTGTGCATGTGCAATGCTAGTCTCCTCCACTAGCTACCATCTACTTGGGTTACCAGACCTGTTGCTTGAAGAACAGCTTGGGGGAGTTCAGAATTCAGGCTGCCAAGGAAATGACCATTAAACACTCAAGACCAAAGTCTAGGCAAAAAAATTTACACCAACTTGCTCCATTTTACGAATAATAGATCTGGAAAAGGCAGCTTCAAGCCATCATTATTGTGCTTTTCAGACTGTCCTTCAATAGAGATACAAGCTGCCTAAATAGCCCTTACCACTCCCTCTTCCCTCAGAAAACAACCCAGCTCTTTTACTCAACAGAAGATCACTTAATCATTGTAATAAGAAGAGGTTTGACATTTACAACAACCCACTCTTAGTCTCTTTGGTGTCTATTCTCTGGATTCCCCCAGCAGGGAAACCCACACTATTCCGTGGGCCTCCTGTGTAAAGTTGCCACTGCCTGATCACAGAAAGCAAATATATGTCATAATCCTAAATTCTGGAGCTAGACATTTAGGGTTCACTTAGCATCTGGGCCTCATATGGTTATATTTTCCTCAAAGTTCACTAAATTTTTGGAAGATCTAAAAAATTCTTGCTTTTTTTGTTTGTTTGTTTGGGTTTTTTAATCACTTGTTCATAAACAAAAAATGGAGGGGAATTACATCATCACAAAAAATGTTCCTCACCTTAACATGCCTCTCCTAAGCTTCCATTGGAACAGAAAGAAAACAAGTTGTGCCAAGCCTTCTTCTCTGTGGGAGCTTGTGCCAAGGCTGGATGGATGTGGAACTTCTCATTTGTTAGCACAGGTAATTCTCACTCACATTCCCCCTTGCAAGAGGATGGCAAGGAAAGCCACTTGCTAAACTGTGAACTTTCAGGAAACATTGTCAAGCAGCATGTCCCTGTGCTCCTCCCTTTGCTGTATATTCACCAGTTCAGACAATTTTTACTCCTGTTCTTGAACATAACCTTCAGATAAAACTACTAACTACAGTCTCACACATGTGAGGAATGGATCCAGACTATTAGATTAGAAACCCTGTCCTCACTGAAATTCTACAGCTTTTCTTTTCCCTGGATGAATTCCCAAATCCCTCCCCACAGCCTAGCAGTTCTTGCTCACTCAAAATTAAGTGGCAATTAGCTCCAACAAAGACAGGGGTGATCACATCTCCCTCCTTAACTGGGACACTGGGAATTAAAAAGTCTTCCCCTCACCCAGTGTTTCAGTGCTCCTGAAAGATCCTGCAGAATATTGGGCACATCTTTACCTGTAATCTGGTCCAATATACTAAATGCTTCAAAGAAAAAAGCTGGGATCAGGCAGGACATGACATACTTGGGTGAAGAGTTTGTGGGGGCAGGGATCAGCCTCTCTGGGGATCTGTGCTGAGCTCCTCTTCACACAGTGCCTGCCTCCAGCTCCCACCCAGCCTCACTGCCCACCGTGCCCCAGCCAGTGCTGTTTCATACTCACCATGTCATACACATTCAGAATCACTGGTTCATTTGCCATTGTTGATTGCAGTAGAGGCTGGATGAAAACCTTCCAGTCCCTGCCAGATGTGTTGCTGGCTCCCGGGTGTGCTTCTACCCTGAGCCAGACAGAAGGAAATGCCTCATCCTGCAGTCTCCAAAGGAAGGAGTGTGGAGGGAGGAGGAAAGGAGGGAATTCTTTCGTTTGGAGGGGGAATAAAGTTGGTTGCAGGGAGGCAGGAAAGCTTGGGCTGCCTTTGCTGGTTGCACAGGGTTTATTTCACCCCTCCGCAGTGCAAGAGAACTGAGGTTACTTTCTAAACCTGCAGCGCACCCCAGGATCTGTAGACACATTCACCACCGTAACCAGGCACCGTCCAAGCCTGCAGGCAGCCCGATCCACAGCAGACAGGCTCCGAGCGCTGCGACCAGCTTTCCTCCAGCTCCGTGAGAGATGGCAGCGTGTGTGTGTGTGCGGGGAACCTTCCGGCGTCCTTCCCGGCGGTGCTGCTGCCACCCCAGCGGGCAGCGACCGGGGCACCGGCCGGGGCAGCGGCCGGGCAGG